GCAGTAGTTCATCACGTAGAGAGCATAGAAAGGAGGGTGTGCATAACGAGCATCAAGTTGCGAAGCTACCATAGAAGGAATTACAGCGACGGCCTGAATCGGACTTCTCACGACAGCGCTTTGCCTGGTTAATGTAATTGTCAACGTTAGAGCGGCATTTGTCTCTGTGACAGCTAATCGGAGAAGTACCAAACACGTGTTTGTACTCTAGAATATATCATGCCAAAACGCTCCGAAAATAAAACAACGCTAATGATTGGCGCATACAAACGAAACATAACGCTGTCATTCCATATTAGGAGTGACACGCGACTAACACGAGGCAGAACTTTGGTGGGAATTTTGGGCGGTAAACAGACAAATACCGCGAGAATGCAATGGGAAACAATGTAGCGAACGTTTGGATATAGCGTCACGATTGCTACAGAAACCGATCCAGTCTCTCAGGACTCAACTCGTGGTTATCAAAACAATGTCTGAAATTACAAACTACTTGGAGAACATCATACAGGAAAGTAAAATTTGTTCATGTTAGATAACTGCACGCGACACATTCTTCTACCATTTATCTACTATTCATCTACCATACACTACCATTCACTGACATTTTTCTATCATTCTGCCATTCACTATTATTCACTACCATTCTTCTGCCATTTATCTCCTATTCATCTACACATACTATTCAGTACCATTCATCTACCATTTATCTACTATTCATCTACATGTACTATTCACTACCATTCTACTACCATTTATCTACTATTCATCTACACATACTATTCAGTACCATTCATCTACCATTTATCTACTATTCATATACATGTACTATTCACTACCATTCATCTACCATTTATCTACTATTCATCTACATGTACTATTCACTACCATTCATCTACCATTTATCTACTATTCATCTACATGTACTATTCACTACCATTCATCTACCATTTATCTACTATTCATCTACACATACTATTCAGTACCATTCATCTACCATTTATCTACTATTCATCTACATGTACTATTCACTACCATTCTACTACCATTTATCTACTATTCATCTACACATACTATTCAGTACCATTCATCTACCATTTATCTACTATTCATCTACATGTACTCTTCACTACCATTCATCTACCATTTATCTACTATTCATCTACATGTACTATTCACTACCATTCATCTACCATTTTTCTAGTGAATAGTACATCTACATGTACTATTCACTACCATTCATCTACCATTTATCTAGTGAATAGTACATCTACATGTACTATTCACTACCATTCATCTACCATTTATCTACTATTCATCTACATGTACTATTCACTACCATTTATCTACTATTCATCTACATGTACTATTCACTACCATTCATTTACCATTTATCTACTATTCATCTACATATACTATTCACTACCATTCATTTGCCATTTATCTACTATTCATCTACATATACTATTCAGTACCACTCATCTACCAGAAGCATATCTTGTATACGTAATTTCATTCACTCGTATACACTCATACTTAACACATGTAAAACTTAATTAAGCAATAAACCACTGCCGAAGGTGGGTATACCGAGTGTATATCGAGTGGTCTACCCGACTCCGGCGGTGGTTTATTGCTATTATATTATACCAACTTCATTTCTGTAGCATTTTCGACACTCTCGGCCTTTTTACAAAATAAGAAACAGTCGTTTTCGAACGACGTGTAATGAGCATCGGTGATCAGATGAAATGGGCCCTGGAACCAGTATTTAATCTCTTATCACACAGTCGCGCTCAGTACACAGAAACGCACAGAACAGCAAGTTTAGATATCATCACAATCAAAGGAAGTTTATTTCTACAACGCAAGAAACTAGCAAATAGTTAGAAATTGAATAAACTGAACAAGCTGAACGCTAAATTTACATATGAATACCTGTGAATAAATTATCATCAGCAGAAATTACCGGCAGCGCGCACTGTGCGCCATTTTTGAAAATATTTGCTGTGGACTTAATATCGTTGTCGAATTTTCTATTTTGAGTTTGTTATGCTGACATTAATTGGTCTACTAAAGGTGCAGTTATGGAACAAAGCAGATGCTGCATGTGTACTTTGATTGTGGGTTTTAGAAATAGACGCGGTGCCAGATTCTGCGTGAGTTGGTCCAGATGCTACTATGCCGGTTGTCGGAAACACCCGCTTCGAACGCTACGGTCACTTCTCTATCAGAGGATTTGTTTTTATACCAAAAACTGCGAGACAGGATACTGGATATTCATTGACTCTGATTATTGGTGACTTTGTTAGTGTAGGACCGAACACTAGCTTCGTTTTTAAGTGCCGTGAAATACATAAATGTGTCTGGTTTCAACTCCTGCCGAACGCAGTGCACACAGTTGATGTGCATGAATTGTCAACAAATTTGCTGCTGTCGAAATCTCTTTCATCATAGATCCCAATTTATTTTCACGAATACCAGACTGTCAGTGTGTGTTACATTTACATGGGGTCCCTGAAACAACGCATTTTGCAATTTGGACAAATACATTTTGAAATGCTTCAACGGGACAATTTTCGCCGCCGGTAGCATACATTTTGGCATGTGTTTCCAGCTCCCGAACATGATACTCGGCCATGTATGTTGCAGACAACGAAAATATGTCGCAAAGAATAGCCTGCAAAAATTGTAGGTTGTACATTTTTTTTTAATTAACCACTACATGTACCAAAATAAAATATGTATATAATATCTTCATGCTATCAATATTACCCCAAAATTTCCCTAAAATTTAAATGCCCTTCACTTTATTTGTTTACGAATTGAACTTGTATTCATATTCTGGGGCTTTATTTGGAACACCATAACTGTGCATTATGCTCTATTTAACCATGGCTTGCAAAAATTAAAACAGTCTCCCAACCAATCACAATGATGCATTGATGGCAGTGATACACTGGTATAATATAATACATGTAGATCGTAAATTTCATATCCCTGAATAAATTGACACATGATTCATATTGCTGTTTGCAGGTTGTGTGGATTTACCATTACTGAGTCCGAATGACAGTTTTTCCGTCCCTATGCCTCTAACATACTGGAATCTGTATGTGAGACCACGTCAAGACTGGGGTGTTCTATACTGTGAGGAACCAATACATTGGAGGAATGTGGCAAAACCTGGTGAATCACGTAGTAAGATTGTACAGTGTTTGAGACCTGGCACTGACAAAGGAGGAAACTTCAGGTAAAGTTTATGTCAAATACCTACAGTTGTATTTCCAGGTCTTTAATAGCATCTGTAACCCTAACCCTCTATACTGTGGAATACTTTATTTTCGCTGGAATTAATTTTCGCTGAAAAGGCTTTTTGGGCGTTTTGTGTAGAATTTATTTTCACTGATTTTTGATGAGTTTAATGTAAAATATATTTGAAAAAAGTATATTCGCTGGATTTTATTTTCACGGAATCATCCCTTCAGCGAAAACAGCGAAAATAAATTCCAAGCGAAAATAAAGTATTCTACAGTATTTTGCAAATCATGTTAATCACTATCAATAAAATACATTGCAACTTTTGGGCGTGGCACAATCTTTGAAAACTTTTGTTTTTGTTTTTGCTTGTTATTTTTGGTGTAATTGTGTATGGCATTTATAAATGTAAGCCCACATAACTGTTCATTGTTGATTTCAGTCACAAGTCTGAATTGAAATTTCATGGCTGCTCAAAAATGTATTTTCAAATATAACCTCAAATAAAAGGAATTTTACCCCTTTGTTGATATCATTTCTTCATGATAACCACTTTTTTTAAATTCGTCTTGTTCACTATATGGATGGCAGCCATATTAAAACACAGATAGATTTTGTAAAGGCAGCCATATTATGACATCACATGTTTTGTCATGCAAATTCAGAAAATTGTTAAATGATAAAACATGAATAATTCAACTAAGGTGTATTTATTGCATTATTGTTTAGATTATGTGCCTGCGTAAGACGTGATGGTTTCCCAGCTGACTTTCCAAATCGTAAAGGTACAGAGAGCCCACGTGTTGACTCAGCTCAGCAACCTGGACACACAATTACATTGTTGCCACCAGTTGTGCTCACAAATCTGTTACCATATGATTTGAACTATTACATCAAAGGCACTGATATCAGAGGACAGATCAAACCAGGAAAAGATGAACCAGTCTACCAGGTATGAACCAACTTTTTTTTTAACCAAAATCATCACCAAGATGTGTTCAGATTTGTTTGATTTTTCTCTAAATTTGACCAAACATTTTACAAAATTGAAAATACTGTCATTTTAACATATTTGATATGTTACAAAGATGAAGAAAAATAATTACAAATATTGGGTCGCTGAACTCAGTTCTGAGAAATTTTCACCAAATTCAATCTCAATTTTGGACCAAACAGACAAAATGTGGTTTAAGTTTTTGATCAAGAAAATTGAAATTTTCTAAATATTTTTTGCTCGGACTATAAATTTTGTGGATGGTGCCTGAAGTTGGCTTTGACAAAGGGTCAAATGCGTCAATGAGTATTCAATTGGTACTCAACAGTGCTGCTTTCGCATAAAGTCTAGTATCACTTTCCATTGGCAATGCATTATTATCCCCATCGTTGTTGTATTGGAAACATTTGGTTTGCATCATGATCATCACTATCAGATACAAGATGACTGAATTTCAGTCATTAAAATGTTAAAAAATTATAATCAAGCATCAGCTTCTGGATCCATATCTCTGACATGTGTATGTTCCAACTATACACAAGACTATATATATTAAATTTGATATTGATAACTAATGGGGACTGTGCCATGCATGGCTTGTTTCATTTGCATTGACACATTGTTACTTTTGTGTTGCAAAGCATTAAAGTCGCTCCATTATTGAGCAAAAGAAAACAAATTACAAATCATAATGAATAAAATTTCATTTACCACAAAGGTCACAGACATGTAGTGAGCAAAAATTTAGATTTGCCAATTTTCTGAAGTGGGTGCCTCCACTAAGGGAACATACATGTATGTTGAAGAAAGTTTGGTAGTTTTTTTTCATACCTGTATTTTTCTTTAGTACCGCCAGCTGACCATGGTGGCTCAATTGATTTATTTGTCAAGCAGTTTAGTTATAGCAGAGTTTACACTGGTTATCTTCTCCGTTGCAGGCTGATTTGAGCCAAGTTAGCGAGTATGGATTTGGTCTTGAGAACTATCCTGAATGCAGGGAGCTGGTGATTCCAGTGAATTTCTACCGAGATTACAAAGTCTCTGTTCGTGTGATGGATAACCAGAGGAGATTGCTGTTTCTAAATGTGCAAATTGAACCAAGAGCTGGGAAATCACTCAAGGTTAGTGTGTGGATTAACCGCTAATCTTTCATATCTTGCGGTAGTAGTGAACTAACATGAAACAAATTACTACATTCGTTTATTACAATCTGTATCACACGATCATGAATTGGAGATCCTCTGTGTGTTTAATGTGCTTTTCAATGTTGAGGCAATGTGCATTTTTTTTTACTCAATGCATATATTAAACAAAATGATAACAGCAAGAAGAACAAACAAGGTTTTCTGCCATGCTACACATGCTATATTCCGGTTGTGAATACAATTTTACATGAGCACCATGCAGGCATTCTCACAGTGACATCTGTCATTAGTTGAAACTTTATTATCTTACAGAAATTAAAACAAATTTTTTTGTTTTTTTATGCTGTATTTATCTATATATGTACTTGAATTTGATCAAATTTTAATGCATTGGGGTAATTATTTCAAATTTCGGTTGCTGCGATTTATTTTCTTGAATGAAAATAGAGCATAATTCATATTAGGTTCTATGCTTGTCATTTGATTATATATGGCTGACTGGCGGCCACTTTCATGTAGCAATTCAACAATTAAATTGAGAGACAGCTGACATCGAAGTATTCACACATGCACATTATAATGGTTTGCCTCAAGATTACCTCAGGCTGTTTCTGAATTATTATAAAATAATTTTATCTATAAATTTCAGATATCAATATCAGCGCCATATTGGTTGGTTAACAAGTCTGGTATTCCACTGGTATTTCGTCAAGATAGTGGGAAAGGTGATGCAGCTGGACAGTTTGAAGAACATGAATTGGCAAGAAGTTTATCCCCATTGTTATTTTCATACTCTGATAAAGAATGTCCATATTTGTAAGTAAAACTACCATCATATAAATCATTACAATAATACCGGTCGGTACTCAAGCTTTTCATATACTGTAAAATATTTATTTTTAGCTGGAATTAATTTTCGCTGAAAAAAATGTTTGGGTGTTTTGTGTGGATTTTATTTTTACTGATTTTTGACGAGTAAAATATGTGAAATATAGGAAAAAAAGTATATTTTATTTTCACTGAATTATTCCTTCAGTGAAAATAGCGAAAATTAATTCCAAGCTAAAATAAAGTATTTTACAGTAGTCACTCTGCTTGGGCATCTACTCTTGAAAATGGAATATATTGTTTGTGTGAATAAATCCATGTATTGTGTTTGTCAGTTTAGTGCATGTGCTGTAAAGTACGTTATGGTAAAAATAGTGTTAATGACTTGGCATACAATCAATGCACTTGTTGGCTTATATGTGCTTCTTTCTATTTGCAATCCACCCCTAACAGAGCCAATATATACTCTCCATACTTGAAACTATAGAGTGCACATAAATCAACCACAAAACATAAAAAATTTAAGAAAAAATTATAATTGCATTACATCACATTTCATAAATTTTGCTTCCACTCATTTATGATTGAAGAATCTGCTTTATGAGATGAGAAGTAGTTCCAGGAATGTTAAAATCCTCTGCATTCTCACTACATGTCAATACTAATCATATTAATGACATAATTTTCTCTGCATTTTTCGCAGATGTACAATGCGACTAGGTAAAGGTGTACACGGTGAGGAAGGTATACCTAATTGGTGCCAGCGATTCTCATTAGAAGGCGGCACTGGAGTGCGATCTCTACATGTAATACAGCATGGCCTGAGACCTGATTGGTAACAAATACTTTTTTACACCCCCTCTCTTCAAATCACTGCTCCCCTCCTCCTCAATCACTTCAGAATGAATGCGACTACAAAAATAACTCATGTGTGTAGAAAATTTAGTGAACCATGGTCATCACACCAGGCATACCAAGATTAACAAAAATGGTGACTTTGATTGTAGGAAATTCCTGGGATGATTGGAAAACATCAAAGAACAAAACACCGATGGTGACAAATGTCGCTATACACTGTACCTTTGATGGTTCACACAATGTTTTAAAACTGTTTTCTATTTTCCACCGCAGCAACGCTCAACAATATAAATCAGTCTTTTGTTTTCTGTGTTTCTGTGAACTCCCAGTTGACTGTTTTTGTGACATTGCGAACTCGCAATGGACCGTTTTTTTTTTTTGGCATTGCGAACTTACAGTATAGCACCTAATGTTCATAAAATTGTAGCCCCAATATATATATATATATGAAAACAATTAATTCATTATTGTATTATAGGGTGTATAACATTGGAATTGACATCCGTAAAGGGTTAGGAAGATACCATGAGACGCAGATTGTAACCTTTGTACCTAGATACCAATTGGACAATAGAAGTCGATTTAAAATCTCATTTGCTCAGAGACATTTTGTCAAGGGATTGGTGAGTAACAGCAAAAGGGTTTGATATGTACCCCAGTAAGGAGGTTTGTGTCAAATTAAAGATTATATATCATGTT